CGCGGAGCCCGGCGCCCTACAGAAGCAGGCCGACCTCTGCAACGACCGCCGCATGGCGTCCAAGCGGGTGCAGGAGCTCAGCACCGGGCTCTTCTTCGCCGTCCTCGTCAAGGTGAGTCCCCGCCCGCTGCCCCCGGTCCCGGCAGAGCCCAAGGACACCTCGCTGGAGCACTGTCCCCGCAGGAGAGCGGGCCCCTGGAGTCCGAGGCCATGGTGATGGGCGTCCTGAACCAAGCCTTCGACGTGCTGGTGCTGCGCTTCGGGGTGCAGAAGCGCATCTACTGCAACGTGAGTGCGCGCCGTATGCGGAGGGCGGAGGGCGGGAGCGAAGCCATGGTCCCTGCTGGGCCCTCCCTCCGCCGTGGGCCCCAGGACGGCCTGCTGGCCCTGCCCAGATGGGGCCGGACTCCTCCCAGGACACTGGCACCCAGGAACAGGCCTGTCCCTGGCCAGCAGGGGGCGGCAGGTGGTGCGGGCCTGAGGGAGCAGAGGGTGGAAGAGGCGGAGGCCTGGCCCGGCTCCTCCCAGGAGACTGAGCCCTGGCGCCTGCCTGGAGTGCACGTGATGCCAATACAGCAGTGAGAGAGGAGAAAGTGCTGAGCCAGCTGGAGTCGCCGGCCTGTGCCCAAGGTCCCGAGGGAGCAAAGTTCGGTCCAGTCAGCCCTGCAGTACAGCCCGCGGGGACACCGCCCGCAGGCTCGCGGGCCCACTCGCAGCCCCCGCACGTGGTCACCCTCAGGTGCCACCACAGCCGCAGGTGTCCAGAAGCTGAGGCCAGGGTCGGTGGTCCCCGTCCCAGGTCGGGAGCGGGCCGGGCAGAGGCCGCCCCAAGTCCAGGGCTCGCTGGGGTTGGGGTTAGGAGGCAGCACCCCAGCTGAGCCTGAGGGTTGTGGTGATGGCTGTGCACCCCCAGGCCCTGGCCCTGCGGTCCTACCACTTCCAGAAAGTGGGCAAGAAGCCGGAGCTCACCCTCGTGTGGGAGCCTGAGGACCCCGAGCAGGAGCCGGTGCGGCAGGTCAGCACCCCTCTCATCCCCGCTTGTGCCTGCGCCCTCACGTGCACCCTGCCACCCAGCAGTGCGGGCCCCATGTCGGGCTCCGGGCCCTGTCCCCCAGCAGCACGCTCAGATACCCTCCTGGGACCCCCCCTCCCCGGGCAAGGGCTCTTCACCTGGGGTCCCATGTCTGAGAGTCTGAGAGCCCAGACCCGACACCCAGAGGTCAGAGAACAGCTTGCGTTCGGCCACCCAGCCCCGCGCCATCTCCCTGGCTATGCCTCCTGCCTGGCACACAGTGCCCTCCAGCTGCTGTGGTTTTTCCTGGGCACCAGCGGGCTGGGGAACCAGCTGGCCGGACAGTGCGGGGCGGCCTGTAACTACAGCACCCTCTCTGTGTCCCCTTCCCATGCGGCTCGGCCACAGGTGGTCACAGTCTTCAGCCTGGTGGAGGTGATCCTGCGGGCCGAGGCTTCAGCCCTTAAGTACAGCGCCGTCCTGAAGCGGCCAGGCCATGAGGGCTGCCCAGGCCTGGAGGACACAGAACCCGAGGACACGGAGCCTGAGGCCTGAGCTTCGGCAGAGCACCCAGCCTGCCCACCCACCCTGGCTTTTAGCAAGAGGACCTTTCGACACCAAAGGGGACTTTTAATTTGGTTTTTAACAACTCAGGGGTTTGTTTTTATTTTTATTTTTTCATTTTATTTTTGCATCTCAGTTTTAAAAAATGAACTGGAGGGGAGCAGTTGGGACTGGGTGGAGGGCTGAGGCCTGGCCAGCACATCCCCCAGAGGGAGCGCCGGGTCCTCTAGAGGCCAGGCCACACCAGCCCTGCCCTCCCCTGCCTGGGACGGGGCTCAGCCAATCAGTGTCGTGGAATAAAATCAAGTGTGAAGCGCTGTCTGTGTGGGCGCCCAAAGCTTGGCACAGGCTCCGCCCACAGCTGGGCCAGGGTCACTGTCCTGGAGCCTTCCTGCTCAGTGCCAGCATGATTCACGGCCGGCCGTGGGGCAGGTGGGTGCAGAGCCTGTCTCCAGCTGATTACCAGGGCCGCCAGCTGTCACCACGGGGCTGTGTCCTCCCTGCCCCACTCCCTCCTTCCTAGGCTGGACCGTGAAATGGCCTCGTGCACACCCCGGAGGTAAGTTGATCTCAGGGCCCCTGGCAGTGCCTAGGGAGTGGGACAGAGTGAGAGGGTCTGCGGAGGGAGAACGCTCAAGCCTGCCCACCGGAGGGTTCGGGCTCCTGGGGACCCAGGGACAGCCTCAGCCTGCACTGCTTTCCCCAGGCTGGACAGGCAGGACTGGTGGCCCCAGAGTTCCAGAAGTGAGGAGAAGACCGAGGCTCCACCAGCCTTTCCCACGTCTCAGGGTCACTGGTCACTGCGACTTTTCCTCAGAGAAAAGGTTGGTGGAGTCCCTCGTAGGAGTGCCTTGCAGGGACTGGGTGTGGCCACTCCGACAACTCTCCGTCCATCTGTCCTGCTTCCCCAAGATGTCCCCTTCGCCCATCTCCAGAACCTTCTGGGAGCAGCCCTCCGCAAGCAGGAGAGGTGGCATTTTCTGTGGGGCGGAGAAAGCCTTCTGGTGCTTCCCGGCCAGGCAGCCAGGCGTGAGGACCCGAGTGTCTGCCCTGCCATGCCCCTCACCTGCGCCACCTCCCTGCCAGCCCCAGGCTGTCCCTGTCCCCAGGGCACTCATAGCTGGACTGGATCGTCAGCGAGGAAGCCCTTTGCTCTTGTTTATGGCCCCCGGACGTGGTACCTGGAGCCCATGAAGACCCCAGCTGCTCTCACCCCATGGGACAGGAAACCCCCACAGGACACAGGTATCCTGAGGTAGCACAGCCAGACTGCCCAGCCATGACTAGGGCTTGAGAGCCCACGCTTTCTTCATGCAGATCACCCTTGCAGCCAGGTGTGTTGGCCATGCCTATAATCCCAGCACTAGGGAGGCTGAGGCAGGAGGATCGCCACTAGTTTGAGGCTAGCCTGGGCTTTACAGGGAGTTCAAGGCCAGCCTGAACTACATAGTGAGACCCTGTCTGGAAAAACCAAAGCAGAAAAACCCAACAGTCTTCTTACCCCATAAAAGCCAAGTCCTTCATCTTCAGTCATTCATTCAGCAAGTATCACTGAATACAGTGTAGCGCATGAGGGAGACACCCCTCCCCACCGTCCCATGAAAGGGACCAGTGTATGGAATAAGCAGGCTGCTCCCTGATGGCCACTGACCCTCATTTCCCAGCCAGGCAGCCGCTGTCCTACGCTGGCACAGCCCAGACCCACTGAGGAGGTGAAGCAGGGCCTCGAGGCTGCCACTGGGCCTGGCTGGGGGAACCTGCACCTGTGCCCGACAGACACTGAGACCACAGCAGCTCTTCCCTGTCGCCCAGGGCGGTGGCGGTATCTTCCCCGGACCCATGGGTCCCCAGAGCCCAGCCCGGTGGTGTTGGGTACAGAGACCCAGAAAGCGGTACTGGGCTGGGCAGGGCCAGCGGGCAGGAAGCTGCCCATGCATCGGATCGCGGTGGGACCGGATGGGCAGTGTGCATATTCAGTGGTCCATGCACAACGACAGGGCAAACCCGACTTCAGGGGATGTGGGTGCAGCAGGGAAGTTTATTCCTTGTGCTTAACTGCCTGGCAGGATGTAGGAAAATCTTTTTTTTTTTTTTTTTTTTTTTTTTTGAGGGGCAGTTTTGAGACAAGGTCTTGCTGTGTAGTGCATGCTGGCCTACTCACTGTGTAGCCCAGACTAGCCTCCAACTCTCAGCAATCCTCCTGCCTCAGCTTTCCAGAGTGTTGGGATTCCAGGCATGTGCCACCACACTCGGCAATTTTTTAGCTGGGTTTGGTAACACACACCTATAATACTAGCACTCTGGGAGGCTGAGACAGGAGGAACTCTAAATTTGAGCCCACCTGGGTAGCTTAAAGAAACCCTATCTCAAAAATGGAAAGGGCTGGAGATGTAGTTCAGTGTAAACACACACACACACAGAGTCAATAAGGGTCCGAACGACCCCACCCCACACAAGGAGGAAGGCCAGATGGGAAAGGAGTGTGTGCCCCAGGGGTGCTTGGGAAGGGGCTTCCAACCCTTGCTCTTCCATGAGAAGTAGTGGACTCACGGCAGCTGCAGAAGCCTGGGTCTGAGTCCCTCCCTCGAGTCGAGTCAGACCCTGAGCCACTAAGAGCACCGAGGCCAGCGTGACACTGCTCTGCCAAAGACAGGCGGCTGCCGTCCCTCAGAGCCCAGCCACCCCGTGGGGAGGATGCGCCTGTGGCTCAGGAGGCCCTCGAAGACAGGCCCAGCAGCTGCCAACCCGAAGCCACCACTGTGTGTCCGCTGTGAGGGAACCCCCGTGCAGGTTCACGGTGAGAAGTGGTGTCAGGCGTTGGAGACCGCGTGTTACATGACAGGTAACAGAGCGTATACAGATCATAGCAAAGCAGCTCAGCCAGGTGTGCTAGTCCACACCTGTATTCCCAGCCCTCTGGGAAGCTGAGGCAGAAGGATCTCAAGCAATTTGGCAAGATGCAGTGTGAAAAATTCTGAAAAGGCTGAGATACAGTGCAGTAGTTCAATCCTCCCTATTACTCCCCCCGCAAAAAAAACAACATTTTAAGATTGAACAAATAAAGAATTGTGTTACTTAGGAACAGCAGTAAATATCAAAAATGAACAGAGGAAAGTTCTTTCCTGTAAGAAGGGAGAATGCAGGGTAACAGAAATCACAAACTTCACAGGTCTGTCTCACCTAAACACTGGTTGTACACGAATAGAAACAACAGCGGGAAAGTCCTACATCGACCCTGCAGGCGTCCTGTTCCCTCACCACAGGGCACGTTAGCATCGTCACCCTGCTGACCACCCCGCGTTCCTGCTGACCAGCGGCCTGCGGCTCTGTGAGTGGGAAGCACTGCCCAAGGCCTTCGGCTTGGCGCTGCAGGGACAAACGTCCACCTCAGTGGAACCACAGGCCCCTGGCCTCTGAGCCCAGCGGGGTGCGGCCTCGGGGCTCCCAGGATGAGAGGCCCACACGGGCACCTGTCAGGCGTCCAGGGCCCGAAGTTGTGCCCCGCTCCTGTATCACAGCGCTCCGGAGGCTGAGGCAGGAGGAGAGCGAAGACCTCAAGGCCAGCCTGGCCTGCGGAGTAAGACTGTCTCAAAATGAAAAATAAAGGTTCCATGGCCGGGCGTGGTGGCGCACGCCTGTAATCCCAGCACTCGGGAGGCTGAGGCAGGAGGACGCTGTGAGTTCGAGACCAGCCTGAGCTACATAGTGAGTTCCAGGTCAGTCTCAACTACCTAATGAGACCCTGTTTCAAAAAACAAAACAAAAAATAATAATAATAATAATAATAAATAAAGGTTCCAGAGCCGGGTGCAGCTTAGCAGAGAGGAGGCACCAGGCTCCATTCCGGCCCAAGTGGGAAAGGAGGCTGTGGCGGAGAAAGTGCTAGAGGAGGAACCGCGTCAGGGTGCTCTGTGGAAACAGCTGGGATTCCACACAGCCAAGTTCAGATCGTGAATTTGAAACCTCATTTGTAAGATCATCGCCTGGGATGTGCTCGTTCTTTTTATGTATTGTTGTGGTTCCAAGGTGTCTTTTTCTCGTATCCAGAAAGTCCCATTTGGGGAGAAGACATTTGAATCATCTATTTTATGTAAAGAGGCGGTTTAATGCAGCCAGGGTTGCAGACCATGTTGTACTCCCTGATGTCCACAAAGAGAGCCTTGATCAGTTCTGGAAAACAGGCAGCCAGATCCTGGAAAGGCTGCAGGAACTGGCTGCTCCGTGGGACGGGAAACCAAGCATCCTCTGGGCCCCACAGGTTCCAGACGAACCAGTGCTTGTGACAGTCGCCAGCCTCGCTCCTGGGACTCCCGTCCAAGTGAAATCTCCAGACACTCACCTTCCCTCTGTGCCCAGAGCTCCTGTCTGTCACCTGTCACCTTGGAAGCAACAGCCAGCTCCCAGCTGCCGGCCTCTGCCTGCCATGGCTGAAGACAGCACCTGCTTGACTTGTACAGAGGGCCCCGCACCACCCGTCTCCCACCCTGACGCTGGGGCCGTCTCCTTCCTGCCCCGATGACCAGCACTCCTGGGGAAGGGGATGCCTGCCCCTTCCTCCGGGTGGGACAGGGCCAGAGCGAGGCCAGTTCCCTCTCAGAAGGAGCCAGCTCCGTGAGCCCAGCCAAGCCCCTGGGCTCCAGACCCTCAGCCTGCAGCCTCCTTCACCTCAGGGTGTGGCCGCCTCCCCTCCAGCCCTGTGGTTCTGGCCACACCAGGCTCTACCCTGTGATGTAGAACCAGTCATTTTCCCACCCACAGATGGTGTAAATGGGTTTTTTTTGAGACAGAGTCTTACTGGGTATCCCAGGCTGGCCTCAGCCATCCTGCCTCAGCCTCCCAAGGGCTGGGATGCAGGCATGTGCCACCATTCCTGGCTGTAAGGGGACATTAAACTCTGAAGGAATCTAGGAATCCTGGCACACGTCTGTAATCCCAGCCTTTGGGAGGCTGAGGTAGGAGAATCATCACAAATTCTAGGTAGCCATATTAAGACCCTGTCTCAAAAAAATAACAAACGAAACAGTTGTGAAGGACCCCCCCCCCCGAAAGAGGGGAAAGTGATGCAGGCTTGGAGCCTATTTAATTTATGTCTTTTCGGCTTATGTTTGACAAAACTCGGCTCTTCATGCATCACCTTAATGATTTCTTGCCATAACCACATATTATCTGTGGTGTTACTCGTGTTTCTTATTTAATAGGCTTGGGTTTTCCGTACAGTAATTACTAAGGGGAGGACCGGCATCTCCGGCCGTGACCAGGAGGCACCTGTGTCTCCCAGGCCAACCAAGCAGAGGTTACCACCAGGGCCAGGTCTACAGCCTGCTCCATCCTTCTCAATGGGGAGAGGCAGTAGTGTGGTGTTAAGATATCCTAGAACCAACTGAGGGTCTCTCCTCATCCGAAAGATAGGAGGAGAATCAAAGATAATGACTCTCACCAGGTTTGGGTCCAGAGTCCCAGCTACTAAGGAGGCTGAGGCAGGAGGATCGCTGGAGTCCAGGAGTTCTGGGACAGCCTGGGCAATTTCCTGCGACCCAGCCCCCCCTGGAAAAATAACAAAGTAAAGGTGTTCTCATTGTGCAGTTCTGTGCCACTGAATGTCCTCGGTGGCGGCAGCTGAACTAGCCACCATGTCACTTAAAGTTACCTGAAAGACTGCACTTTGGAAGCTTGAGTTTGTCATGTTAGGAAAATGCTCCTGCCTGCTGCACCCAGCTGGGGACCCCAGATGTGGCCTGGGCAGAGCCGGGCATCGGCAGGGACGCTGGGGACACAGGACTGGCCTCCCTGCCCGGAGTCCAGCCCCCCACCTCACACACACACACACACCGCCTCACGTGCTGGGCCCGAGGAAGGACTGTGACCCCATCACTGCAGTGGGTGACTCAGGGGCAGAGGTAAGGTGGGGGCAGGTGTCCCACAGCCCGTGGTGTGGACAGATGCCCTTTGTTCACCATGCGTGATGCGTGCTGTGTGTGTCTAGTGCTGCCCAGACTCAAGAGGAAAATTCACTGGATGCCGGGCAGACTGGGTGAGCATTGGTAATGTCACATGGCAGAGTGAGAAGGGAGCCGCACGACACAGTACGGGGGCAGGGGGCAGCTAACTAAGCCAGATGCGGTTGTACATGCCTGTAATCCGGCCACTCTTGGAGGCTGAGGCAGGAAAGATCCAAAGTTGGAACTCTACCGACAATTTAGGGACTTTAGTGACTTTTTTTTTTTTTTTTTTTTTTTTTTTTTTTTGAGATGGGGTCTTACTGTAGTTCAGGCTGGCCTTGAACTTACTGTGCAGCCCAGGCTGGCCTCAAATTCATGGGGATCTTCCTGCCTCAGCCTCCTGAGTGCTGGAATCACAGGGAAGCATGCACCACCATGCCCTTAGTAACTTTGTCCCAAAAACTTTTTAAAAAGGGCTGGAGGAGGTGCTCAGTGGGAAGGCCCTGAATTCATTCCCAATTTGGGGGTAGAGCATAGAAGATAAGGGGTAGGCACTGGCTACTCACCTGTACTCCCAGCACTGTGGAGTCTGAGGCAGGAGGATCACTGTACTCAAGGCCAGCCTGAACTACACAGCATGACCCTGTCTCAAAAACAAGTTCAAGGCCAGCCTGGACCACTTATCAACTCAGCAAGACCCTGTCACAAAATGTAAGAAGGCTGAGTGTAGTTCAGTGGGAAGGCTCTTCATTTGATCCCCAGCACCACCGAGAGAAGAAAGAAGGACACAATTTGAAAGAACAGGCGCAGTTATTGGTTGCCAGGGGCTGGCGACAGGGGCCCTGGCGTGCCTGTGGGGTGGCACATGTGCACACAGGCTGTGCAGTGGCCCAGCCATGGCTGCCTCACCTGTGCTCGGATGACACTGTGGAGCCAGGTGCGCATGCTCATGGTCCACGGCGAACCGGGGGGTGCCGGGTGGTGTCCCCGTCACTGCCCTCTGATGAATATTGGTCCTGGACGTGGCTCTTGTGACCCAAAACTCCGATTTAAGTGGGGGTGATGTGGTCCTGCAAAGCCAAGTGCAGACTGAACCTTTAACCTGGTAAAAAGCACTCATTAAGCCAGGCACAATCTTACCCACCAGTGATCCCAGCACTCTGGGAGGCTGAGGCAGGAGGATGGCAAGTTCCAGCCCAGCCTGGGCAACTTAGTGGCTTAAGAGACTTTGCCTCAAATTTAACGAAAAAGAAAAAAGAGCCACATAAGTAAGTATTAAGGGCCTGCCTGAGGTAGGCTGCCCTCACTGTGATCCCAGAATTTCCCCACCGCCACCAGAACACTCAGGAGATGGGGAGATAACTCCTGGAGCCCAGGAACAGGCTGTGTAGACCTCAGGTAATAACTCTGCTTTAACAGAAGTAACACAGGGCAGGGGCACAGAATTAAGACATGACATGTACTTGTAAATTCCCCACGATAAATGTAATCATTATGTATAGCAAACTCGGAGTAATAAAAATCAGAAAAAATAAATAAAAACACGGGAAACCTTTTACTCTGAACTCTCCAGTGACCACGCTGGGGACGCACGTTCATTCCTGAGTGGCCTGTGCCACTGGGAATGCAGAGTGTAAGACATAAGTCTCACTTTTACTCCTGGAGCGTGAACAGCCAAGAGGCTTCCACGATGCTGGGCTCAGAAGCTCAGCGAGGCTCCAGGAGCTTGTCGCACAGCGAGAGTCACCCAGGAAGGAACACACCAGGCAAGTTGGCAAATAGACCTTTATTAGTCTGGCCAGACGGCACTCCCCAAGCCAAGTAGCTCAGAGAGGCGGCTAGCTCAGAAACAGAGGCCATTTTATATAGGGCTAAGGGTGGGGGGTACACTTAAAACTTACAGGAAGAGGACAAAGGCAAAGAGTCAGTTGATCTGAGCTAGTGGTCGTCATGTACTAATGATCAGCAGAGTGATTATCCATTGTTCCATTTACAACCTAGATCATCATAAAGTTCCGAACATTCAGACTACAGGCATGCAAGGAGTGGCGAGACCTGCGTTGGGTCTCTGTGTTCACTACAGTTTCCACCTAGTTTCCCAGCTACTCCAAAACAGCCACCTAACAATTCACAATTAATCATTAGTTATCCTATAAGGGATGGGGGGAGCGACAGTCTCTAGGTCGTTTGCTGGTCAACATGGAGTCGCTCTGGTTCAGTCAGGCTCTTACAAGAGCATGACTTCCCAGTCACAGCACAGCCGAGGCCACGCGTGGACGCAGTGACCAGAGGCCCCTGGGACACGGCCACCACCCCATGTCAGCGCCTGGTGGGTGGGGCGTGAGGGAGCAAGCTTAGTCCCCACAGACAGAGAGCCCAGCCCAGGGTTCCAAAGGGAGGGCACCTGGCTGTTGGCCGGAAGGAGCCCCTCCTGGGACACCATTCAAGGGTTAGGGCTCCAGCAGCTCTAACAGTGCGGCCTCCCGCTGGCCTTCCTAAACCCAGAAGTCTGCTGAGCCTCCGCCTCCGGGATCTCGTAAGGGTGCTGCCAGTGTCCTGCGGCCAGGGGTGCTGGGCTGTGTGAGCACAGACTGCACCCTGAACACACACACACTCCTCTCGGGCAGAGATGATACTAACAGCGCCCAGCTCCTGCGAAAGCCTGAAAACCCTACACAGCCCACCTGGGGACCCTGCCCAGAAACCCCTCCCAGCCAACAGGAGCTCTGGGTCCTTCCTTTCATTTTTAATTTATTGTGGGGGATGTTTTTTGAGATAAAGTCTCATTATGTAGTTGACTGTCCTTGAACTCGCCGAGTAGCGGTGATCCTCTCGCACCAGCCTCCCAAGTGCTGGGATCATAGGCGTGCCCACCACGCCCCGCATGCTTCCTGCCCTTTATATCTTTTACTCCCTGCCTTTATATCCTTTAATACCTTTGCCTGCACCCTGCCTTCTCTGTCGCAGTCTTATTCCTCCTCCCTGTGGGGCAGAACCCCAGGTTCTCATAATAATTACTTCTCTCCACAACCCCTCAGGCCAAGCTCCGCAAGATCTATTTTAATTTCATTAAACTGTGATAAAACACAAAGCACATACTTAACCATCTTAACTATTTCCAGCCCAGCCTAGGGGGCACGCCTGGGCTACGTACTGATTTGAAGGCCAGTCTGATCCACCTAGCAAGACCCTATCGCAAAAAAACAAAAATTGAGAGTTGAGTTTTTGTTTGTTTTAGTTTCCTTTTTTTTTTTGAGACAGGGACTTTCTATGTATGTAGTCCAGGGTGGCCTTGAACTCACTGTGATCCTCCTGCCTCAGCCTCCCAGGTGCTCGGGTTACAGACATTTGCCACCACACCTGGCATCATAAAATCAATCTGATGCTGGCAAAAAAAAAAAAAAAAAAAAAAAAAAAAAAAAAAAAAAAAAAAAAGGGGGAGGAAGAAAAAAAAAAAAAAAAAAAAAAAAAAAAAAAAAAAAAAAAAAAAAAAAAAAAACTGGGTGGAGAAGGGAAAAGAAGAATCAACATGTGTTCTGTACAGGTACCAGTTCCCACAATGAATGTACTCAAAATGACTATGAATATGTACTAATAAAATTTTAAGGATAATGAGAAAGCACAAATTTACAACTTTAGGGTGTAGCTCAGTGTAGAGCATGCTTGAGGCCCTGGATTCCATCCCCAGCACCACACACACAAGAAAAACTACTTTTTCTTTTTTTGTTTTTCCTGGTACCTGGGATCGAACTCAGGACCTTACACTTCCAGGGAGGCGCAGTGCCACTGAGCTGCATCCTCCGCCAACATTCAGGTTTTTTTTTTTCCTTTGGATTTTGGCTTTTTGAGACCAGCTCTCTCTCTATAGCTCAGGCTGGCCTTGAACTTGGGTCCCAAGGGCCGGGGTGGAAGGTGTGCACCTTGCACTGGAGACCTCAGCGTGCAGTTCAGTAGTAAGCACGCTGCAGTGGCTATGCGCTGGTCCCAGCGCTTTTTCTTCACAGGTGAGACTTTGTCCTGGCAGGAAGCACAGGTCTCCTCTCCCCACCCTCATCTGAGGAATGGTGGATTCCTCAGTCTCACGTCCTCAAGCTCCATCCCCACAGTGGCGTCTCCTTCCTCCTTCAAGCCGAATGCTGCCCACTGCAGCCGCTCCCTCAATTTATTTAACCCCGCAAGCAGGGATAAATGTCGTGGGCTGCTCCCGCCGCCCGGCCATTGTTTGTTACAAACACTATAGGGCCTGAGCTGAGGCTACTGGGCCTCTTAGGTCGCTCAGACCAGACTCACCCCAGGGCCCCGAATGCCTGTGGGCACACGGCTGCCCTTGCTCAGATCAGCTGGGTCTGGCCCCGCTGTGTGCAGCCCCACCCATGTCCACACAATAGCCATGCTGGGCCCGCGTTCCTGGGCACCCACCTGTCCTGCCTAGCCTGACAAGCAGTCGGTGGCAGGGCAGCCAATTAACTTGACAGTGTCCTTCCTCTCCTCTCGGCGGCTCCCAGAGTCCAACGCTGAGCCACAGCCCACTCTGTACGGCGCAAGCCTCACCTCCACTGAGCACACAGGACAGAGCCTGGCCGCCACCACCCACTTGGGAAGGGCGTGATGGTCCCCAAAACGGGAGCTGAATGGAGGCCAGACCCAAACAGCAGGGCAAAAGCTCCTGTCCAGGGGTGGCTCAGGCCCCACCCTTCCTCCGAGAAAAACACTGGGCAAATTCGGAGCTTCTGTCCCAAGCCCTCCCCAGGCTGGCCCAGCCCAGCCTGCACCCTCCCTACTCCTGCAGGGTTTGGGATCCCAGGGCCTGCAGGGTGGTGCCTGAGGCTTAGGGAGGGACCCAAAGATTTTCACAGCCTGTGGGAATATAAACTCGGACAGTCTGGGCTGGAGCTGGTACCCTGGGGTAACAGCCTCGTTAGGTGCTGTCACTGTCTCAGCCCCCACACCTGGTGCCCCGCACACAACACCACCCCAGACATGCAGGGAGCCCGGGCGCTTCTGCTGCTGCTGCTGCTGCTGCTGCTGGCCCTGACGCTACGGCCGACCCACGGCATCATCCCAGGTAATGCGGCTCCCCAAGCCCCCCACCAAGGGCCTGTCCAGCCCCCAGCCCCAGGCTGACCCAGCTCCCGCTCTCCCCTGGCCAGTGGAGGAGGAGAACCCGGCCTTCTGGAACCAAAAAGCAAACGAGGCCCTGACGGCTGCTAAGAAGCTGCAGCCCATTCAGACGGCGGCCAAGAACCTCATCCTCTTCCTGGGGGACGGTGAGTGTGCAGGGCCGGCGCCCCCTCCACCGCCAGGCTAGGCCAGCCTGGGGCTCAGCCTGACGGTTCTGCCCCTCAGGGATGGGGGTGCCCACAGTGACCGCCACCAGGATCCTGAAGGGGCAGATGCAGGGCCAGCCTGAGCCAGAGACTCCACTGGCCATGGATCAGTTCCCGTACCTGGCGCTGTCCAAGGTGAGCGGGGCTGCGGAGAGGCCGGACTGTACAGCTGAACTCTGCATGGAGCACAGCTGAGGCTGTCTCTGTCCGCAGACGTACAACGTGGACAGACAGGTGCCAGATAGTGCGGGCACAGCCACGGCCTTCCTGTGCGGGGTCAAAGGCAACTACCAGACCATCGGCCTGAGCGCGGCTGCCCGCTTCAACCAGTGCAACACAACTCGGGGCAACGAGGTCCTCTCCGTGATGCACCGGGCCAAGAAAGCAGGTGTGATGGGCTGGGGCCGGGACTGGAGTTTGCCACAATGTCCCTGACATGCACTGAGCCCTCCTCCTCCTCCCTCAGGGAAGTCTGTGGGAATTGTGACCACCACCAGGGTCCAGCACGCCTCACCGGCCGGCACCTACGCACACACCGTGAACCGCAACTGGTATTCGGATGCTGACATGCCCGCCTCAGCGCGCCAGGAGGGCTGCCGGGACATCGCCACGCAGCTCGTCTCCAACGTGGACATTGACGTGAGCTCAAAGGGCGGGAGGGCTGGAAGGGAGGGTGCACCCCGCACTGGCCAAAGTCCCAGGTGTCCTGCACGTCCTGCAGCTCAGCCCTGCAGCTCACCAGGGTCTCTGGGAGCTGTGGCAGCGGCCAATGGAGAAGGCTCCACCCAGCGCAGGCCCTGGCACAGCCAGGAGGGGACGTAGGGATGCAGGGAGGACGGGAAAGGCAGCCCTGCAGCCCCAGGCCCTCAGGTCCTTGGCTCTGACCGCAGGTGATCCTGGGCGGGGGCCGGAAATACATGTTCCCCAGGGGGACCCCAGACCCCGAGTACCCGAATAACACCGCCCAGGCAGGGACCAGGCTGGATACGAAGAACCTGGTGCAGGAGTGGCTGTCGAAACACCAGGTGACGGGTGCACCGGGCAGGATGTGGGGCCAGGGATGCAGGGCTGGGCAGGGGCTGAGGCCTGGCTGTCCCCGCAGGGCTCTCGGTACGTGTGGAGCCGCGCAGAGCTCCTGCAGGCGTCCCAGGACCCGGCCGTGACCCGCCTCATGGGTAAGACCCTCCCGCCCTGCAGGTGTGTGCCGTGACCCCTGTGTGCCCCACCTGGCAGTCACCCTGGGTCCCTTGTCCCTCAGGCCTCTTTGAGCCCGTGGACATGAAATACGAGATCTACCGAGACCCTGAGCTGGACCCCTCCCTGGCGGAGATGACAGAGGCAGCCGTGCGCGTGCTGAGCAGGAACCCCGACGGCTTCTACCTCTTCGTGGAGGGTGAGGGGGCGCCTGGGGCACACAGGCCGGGAGGGGCGTCGGAAATGGAGCAGGAGGCAGCTTTCCCCTCTTCCCGCAGGGGGCCGCATCGACCACGGCCACCATGAGACCATAGCCTACCGAGCACTCACTGAGACAGTCGCATTCGACGCTGCCATCAACAAGGCGGGCCAGCTCACCCGCGAGCAGGACACCCTGACCCTCGTCACCGCTGACCACTCCCACGTCTTCACGTTTGGGGGCTACACCCTGCGGGGGACCTCCATCTTCGGTAGGCCTGGGACGGCGGGGGCTGTTGCTGATTTGAAGGCAGAGGTCTCTTGAGTTATCTGTCGTGGCCACACTGGCAGCACTGCCTGGTGGGGGTCTTGGGAGGGCTGAGATGGGTGTGGGTGAGGGGTGCCCAGGCACCCATGCAGTGGTCAGTGCAGGAACGAGGTGAGCTCCCCTTGCAGGGCTATCACCTGAGAAGGCCAAAGACGGCAAGGCCTACACTTCCATCCTGTACGGAAATGGCCCAAACTTCAAGAACCCCCGGCCAGATGTCACTGCCCAGGAAAGCAGTGAGTAGGGTCTCCCCGGATCAGAGGCAGAGAGGGGTCAGAGGGGAGCCCGATCACACTGACCACCGTGCCCTCCAGGTTCCCTCACCTACCGGCAGCAGGCGGCCGTGCCCCTGGACTCCGAGACCCACTCTGGGGAGGACGTGGCGGTGTTCGCGCGTGGCCCACAAGCGCACCTCATGCACGGCGTGCAGGAGCAGAACTACATCGCCCACGTCATGGCCTTCGCCGGCTGCCTGGAGCCCTACACCGCCTGCGGCCTGCCGCCGCCCAGCCGGAGCAGTGACCAGAGCGATGACAGGAGCAGCGCTGCCCCTGGCCTCTCGCTGTCTCTGGCCTGGACACTGGTGCTGCTGCTGCTGGGGACCATGGCACTCTGAGTGTCCACAGCTCCACCCCACACCCCCACCAGGAGGCCCCGCAGCACAGCACTGTACTCTCCACACCCAGTGTCCACGGAGGCAGCTCTGGGACTGCAGTTCCAGACCACAGTCCCTGCACCCCAACACAGGAGAGGGTGCGGACCAGCCACTCTGCCTGACTGGCTCACCTCGGTGAGCTGGCACTGGGCACTGATTAGGAGCAAGGATTCCCCGCCCTCCAGGCTGCCATTCTCCTGTGAACACAAAGCAACAATAAACAGACCCTTGACAGTGTAAACTGCTGCCTTGCTGGTTTTTGCTGAAGGAAACCCAGAGAGCTGGGGATGCAGCTGGAGATTCAGGACAAGTAGTGAGACGGGAGGCCAGGGAGGCTGCCTGGGACAGACGTGACAAAGGCCTGAACAGGGCAGAGCAGTGCAACACTGGCCCCACTCCTGACCACACGGTCCACGCCCAAGGCGCTGTGTTGGGCCAGGCTGAGGTGGACAGGGCACCTGGGGAGGATGCCCAGAGAGGGGTTGAAGGGACAGCAGGGCCCAGTCCCCAGCTGCAGGACACGAGGACGCTGGACAGCCAGCTCAGCACCTCACCCCAGCCCACACCAGGACGCTGGCTCAGCTCTGCCACCAGCTGAGACAGCTCCAGGCCAAGGTGGTCGACACGGTCAAAGGAAGGGGCAGTCGCCTGTTCTGTGCTGTGGCCAGCCTCAGTCTCAGGGCAGCTCAGCCAGCTCCCGGGATGGCAGAGATTGGGGTCACTAAGGGCCCCCACAGCCACACCTGGTCCTCCTGCAGGACCGTGGGCCCAGAAGCAGGGGGAGCCGGTGCAGAGGGGCTACCAGCGGTGTGAGGTCAGCACAGGTGCCAGAGGCTGGGCCAACCTTCCTGAGCCCCGTCACACAGGAATTGCCAACCACGGCCCTGCCCTGGAGGGTCTGGGATTTGGGTCCTGCAGCATCCTGCCTGGGCTACTGCCCAGGAACTAGGTCTCTCTGAGGACAAGGCACCCACAGCAATTAACTTGGTGACACTGGGTTTAACCTCAGAATCTAGGCTACACTGAGCCGTCCTCAACCTGGGCCCCAGTGCCAAGGAACACTGGCCTAACACCACGCAAGATAAAAGCAGGTCTTGGATGCCAGGCCCATTTACGCCTCTCACTTAGCCCTGCCCATCTTCCCTAAAGGCTAATGCCTCAGACTTCTCCCAGTGAAAGCCCACCCTGCAGCCAGGAGAAACAGCCAAATTGCAGCTTCTTTATTTGAGCCAGTGTCTCACTGTGGAGTCAGACCAGCTTTGAACTCACTATGTAGCCCAGAATGGCTTCAAATTCTCAGATCCTTTTGCCTCAGCCTCCTGAGTGCTGGGATTTCAGGAGTACGACACCAATTCTAAACATCTAACTTCAAGCCAGGTGTGGTAGTGCACTCCTGTAATCCCAGCACTGGGAAGGCTGAGGCAGGAGGATCGCTGAGTTCTCGGTCAGCCTAAACACTAACACTACGTAGTGAGTTCAAGGTCAGCCTGAACCTTACCTCAAAAAAAAAAAAAAAGTAACCAGACAAGATATACAATCTTCCCAGAATATCTTCAGAACCTAGATGATCTAGAAAAACACATTCTTGACATAATTCCATGTAGTGGTGCAGGCCTATAATGCCTGCACTTGCAAGCCTGAGGCAGGAGGGTTTCTGAGTTCCAAGCCAGCCTGGGTGACCTGTACACAGGGAGACCCTGTCTCAAAATAAAGCTCCAGCCATCTAATGCCAGCAGTCGGAGACGCTGAGGCAGGAAGATCAAAATTTTGAGCCCAGTCTGGGCAATTTAGAAACTAGCAAGATATTGTTACAATAAATACAAAGGGGCTGGGGATGTAGCTCAGTGGTTAGGACCTGAGTTCCTTCTCCAGTGCCACAAAAGCAACACTCCGCAGCTACTTAACAGGGAACACACAGTCTCCTTAAATGACCAAAAGCCAAGTGAAGGTCACAGGATCAGATCTTGCCAAAGCGTGGCCTTTGTTTTCTAATCAGAAAAGCCCGTAAATTGGAGAAATGGGGCCTCCCAGTTCCTATTCCGGGCAGCTCAGTGTCAGAGAACCTGCTGCTCTAGGAGTGGCCCAGGTTCTGGGGATCCTGTGCTTCTGAAATGATTGCTTACACAGAAAACCTTGTGGGTGATTTTGCCCTCCTGATGTTAGCGAACTGGATCACACAGAGGCCTCGCACCAGCTCCATCTCCTGTGAACCTAGTCCAGGTCTATGCGAGGCTGTTACTTGTCCTATACTTTCTTTCTCTTTTGCTTACATTGAGTGAGGTTAGTACAGAAACTACTCTCTTTTTTTCCTTTACAAAAAACCCCAATTTCCTCTTTCCTGCAGTGGGATTGAACCCTGGGCCACTCTGCTCCTGAGGGATCTGCACCCACAGACCTTTCCAGCCTGCACAAGAACAGGCCTGGCCATGTGACCCTCCTCTCCCAGACTTCCAGTAGCTGGGACTCTGAGGGCTCCCTGACTTCTTTTTTTTTTTTTTTTTTTTTTTATCGTTTTTTTTTTTTTTTTTTTTTTTTTAGCACTGAGGTTTGAACCCAGCACCTCTGCAGTGAGCAATATCCCCAGCCTTTTTTAATTTAAAAAAAATTTGTGATACTAAATTTTTGGGGGGTGGGTGGGGTTTTGAGACAGGGTCTCACTATGTAGTTGAGACTGACCTGGAATTTACTATGTAGCCCAGGCTAGTCTGGAACTCACAGTGATCCTCCTGCCTCAGCCTCCCCGAGTGCTGGGATTACAGGAGTGCACCACCACGCCCGGCGATAAGACACTAAATTTATACTTGATCTTAGCCAAAAGGCTGAGAAGTGATGAGATACTAAATTTAAATTAAGACACTAAATCACTAAATTACTCAGACTGGGGTCATTCTTCCAGTCTTCCTGCCAGACTTCTAGACTCCCAGACTATGGGATTTCAGGCTTGAACCACCAAATCTGGATTTGTTCTGTTTTATTTTTTGTTTTGAGACAGGGTCAAGCCAAGTATTCAAGATGGATTTGAATTCATTACATAACCCAGGCTGGTCTTGACCTTTCAACCTTCCTGCCTCAGCCTTCTAGAGTAGTGGAATTAGAGGCATGCATCACTACTCCCTCTTCAGAAAGTCACCCATATCTAATCCTGGCCATGACATCCTAGTGATTTTATCTAATTCTAGTCCTTCCCACAGGCCCCACCTCTAAGTATCGATATGATTAAATTTCCACCTTTTTTTTTTTTTTTTTTTTTTGAGACAGGGTCTTACTATGTAGTTCAGACTGGCCTGACCTCAAATTTGTAGCGCTCCTCCTGCCTCAGCCTCTCGAGTGCTGGCATCACTGGTGTGCACCACCATGCCTGGCTTTTCTACTTTCTTAATACTTCTGGATGGAGAATTAAATTTAACACAGGAGCTGGGCATGGTGGCCCACATCTGTAATCTCATCACTCAGGGGACTGAGGCAGGAGGATCACTGTGAGCTCAAGGCGAGCCTGAACTATATAGCCGACTCTGCCTTAAAAAATTTTTTAAAAAAATGTCAGCATGTGACATGCTCTGGTGTCTCTTCAGAATCTTTCCCCTTTTTAATGCACAAACCTTGGCTCCTTGAAGACGTGCAAACCACATCCAAACCATAGCCCTGTCTTTTCCCCCATGACCAAGTTTGTTTGCACTCTAGCCACGGTACTTGGGTTGTGCTGGGAAGGGTCACCCAGGACTATGGAAAGCTCTTCCATGTCCCCTGCTATTCCTGACACTCACCAGAGTCCTGGGCTCCTGTGGGGCGAAGATCTGGCTATCAACACCGAACACTGAGCTGACTGCGGCCCCTAAGCCTCCACATAGAGCTGCATCTCCAGAATTTCCATCTGTTCTATTCAGACAGGGTCTCGCTAAATTACTAAGTTGCCCGGGATGGGTTTGAACTTTTGATCCTCCTGCCTCAGCCTCCCAAACTGCTTCAATGGCAGAAGTGCCTCAGCCCACCAGGGTGCTTCTCCTAGTTTTGTGGCCCACTAAAACTTCTCCTAGTTTTATGTACATTCTTGGGACCAGGGCAGTGGCACCCGGCTGAGCAAGCTGCCCCATGCTCCAACCCCATTGTTTTACCACTGTAGGCAGGGCCACTCAGCAGGGGCTTCCTCCCAGATCACCGTGTCAGAGTACGACGACCTGCGGCGGGACGTCAGTGCCATGTACAACAAGGTCACGCTGGGCCAGCTGCAGAAGATCACCCCCCATGTGAGTGGCTGCACCGCCAGGCAGCTCCGGGGTCCCCTCCTGGGGCTGGCTCCATGCCTTTCTGTGCACCCGGACCCTCCCTGCTGCCCTCCTCGCCCCTCTGACCCCTCCCTGTGCTCTGGGCCCCACCCTTGGCCCCACAGCTGCGGTGGAAGTGGCTGCTGGACCAGATCTTCCAGGAGGACTTCTCGGAGGACGAGGAGGTGGTGCTGCTGGCCACAGACTACATGCAGCAGGTGTCCCAGCTCATCCGCTCCATGCCCCACAGGTGGGCTGCAGCCACAGCCGGCCCCGCCCCATCGTCTGTAGGGCCCTGCTCTCACCTGGACCTGTCTGCATGGCCACCTCCCCTCTGTGCGAAGTCCCCCCGGGTGGGTGGGTGGGGGCCCTGCAATGGGAGTCCAGATCCCTGCGGTCGGAGGCTGGTGCTACCCCCTCCGCTGTGGGAGCAGGGCAGGCTGGGAGCTCCCTGTGGGTGGTGAGGCTGAGCCTGGTGTCCCCGTGGGGAGGGGTCGCCACCACTCCGCTGCCCAGCGCCCCCTGGGGGAGAGCTTTCTGTCTCTGCCTGGGGGAGGAACAGAGGTGGCTCAAGGCCATCTCAGAGGCAGAAAGTCAGCCCGGAGCGCCCCATGTCCCACCCACAGGCAGATGGGAAATGGGGTTGGTGACCCTTCAGAGCAGGACTGTGTTCAGCTGCTACTGTATGACAGGGATCAGGAAGGTCGGGCACAGCCCCTGGCACCTGTGGTGACCTCATGCCCCTCTCTGCACAGCGTGGGCACTGACAGGGTGGGATCCCCTGAGCAGCCACCACCCCTCTGACCAGGTTCTCCCTGCTTCCCCAGTGCAGGGTCGTGCAGGAGAACCAGGCCTGGCATGTGAGGACCATGAGTGACCCCATTCCTGTGGGTTTTTTTGTTTTTGTTTTTGTTTTTCGGTGAGATCCAGCAGCTTACACTGTCACAGGGTCTCACGGTTCTTTTTATTATTGTTTTGTCTCCAGGAGAATGGCGGCCCAGCAGAGCAAGGAATCCTGGTTCTTAATCTGTCTGGTGCCAGCTCACCAAGGTGAGTCAGAGTCAAGGCCAGCCTAGTGGGAACCCCCTGGGCCAATGCCCACTGGTCCCATGCTGCAGGTGAGTGCAGGGTGACCGGTCTAAACCCTCTCCTGGGGTGCTGGCACTGTCTGAAGGCGCAGTCCCGGAGCTGTCCTGGACACGGTGCAGTGTGGCCATTGGATGAGTATGGGGGGTGAGCTCCCATGGAGGCACAGCCCGGGGTGAGGAGGACAAGCTGCTCTGAGGCCAGGTCAGGGCCCACGCAGGAGGAGGGGTCTGCGAGAAGTGGGGTGCCTGTGACAGAGGTCTGAGCACACGAGGTGTGGGTTGCAGTTCAGCTTGGCGCCGTCTGGACCGGGGTGGTGAGGGTGTGGGGAGCCCTCCAGGGGAGCTGGCCAGAAATCAGTCAGGGCCCAGGAATCAGCCCCAGCAGGAGCAACAGGGTCCCGGCCAACAGCGGCACCGAAGGCAGTGCAGCGTCCCGGCCAGCACGCGAGGAGGTCCAGGCGGGCGGCGGCAGGCCGCAGGTGGTGTAGGGCTCCAGGCAGCCGGCGAAGGCCATGAGGTGCGCAACATAGCTCTGCTCCTGCACGCCGTGCATGAGGTGCGCCTGCGGGCCACGCGCGAACACTGCCACGTCCTCACCGCCGTGGGTCTCAGAGGACAAGGGCACGGCCGCCTGCTGCCGGTACTTGGGGTCACCTGAAGGGACATGGCAGTCAGCAGGCCTCTCCAGGAGGGCCACCGCCTCCTGCTTCCAGTCTGTCCTCCGGCTTCCGCCAGGGAAGGGAACCTGGTATCACTCACCGATCTCACTGTCGCTGACATTCGGCCTGGGGGAGGTGGCTGGGTAGCCGGGACCGTTTCCATACAGGATGGAGGTGTAGTTTTTTAAGTCTGAGGCCAATGAGGGGGCCAGCCCTGCAGGGGGAGAGGGGCGCATAGGGGTCACTGACCACACTGGGAGGCGCATATCCGCCACACACCCTCACCTTGGGTCTGGTCCTGGGCTGGACCTTCCCAAGATCTGCTCCAAGCAACACTATAACCAGTGTGCCCCTCGGATGGATAGAGAAACTGAGGCTCACACAGACCCTTGTAATCAACAGCAGCAGTCCCAGGCCTACCGAAGATGGAGGTCCCCCGCAGGGTGTAGCCCCCAAACGTGAAGACGTGGGAGTGGTCCGCAGTGACGAGGGTCAGGGTGTCCTGCTCGCGGGTGAACTGGCCCGCCTTGTCGATGGCAGAGTCGAACGCAACCGCATCAGTCAGGGCAAGATAAGCACTGCCCTCATGGTGGCCGTGGTCGATGCGGCCCCCTGCGGGAAGCGGGGAAAGCTGCCGCCTGCTCCATTTCCGACGCCCCTCCCGGCCTGTGTGCCCCAGGCGCCCCCTCACCCTCCACGAAGAGGTAGAAGCCGTCGGGGTTCCTGCTCAGCACGCGCACGGCTGCCTCTGTCATCTCCGCCAGGGAGGGGTCCAGCTCAGGGTCTCGGTAGATCTCGTATTTCATGTCCACGGGCTCAAAGAGGCCTGAGGGACAAGGGACCCAGGGTGACTGCCAGGTGGGGCACACAGGGGTCACGGCACACACCTGCAGGGCGGGAGGGTCTTACCCATGAGATATGTTACCGAGGGGTCCCGGGACGCCTGCAGGAGCTCTGCGCGGTTCCACACGTACCGAGAGCCCTGCGGGGACAGCCAGGCCTCAGCCCCTGCCCAGCCCCGCATCCCCGGCCCCACATTCTGCCCGGTGCACCCGTCACCTGGTGTTTCAACAGCCACTCCTGCACCAGGTTCTTCCCGTCCAGCCTGACTCCCGTTGAGTTCGCATCATCTGGGTACTCAGGGTCTGGGGTCCCGCTGGGGAACATGTATTTCCGGCCCCCGCCCAGGATCACCTGCGGTCAGAGCCAAGGACCTGAGGGCCTGGGGCTGCAGGGCCGCCTTTCCCGTCCTCCCTGCATCCCTACGTCCCCTCCCGGCTGTGCCAGGGCCTGCGCTGGGTGGGGCCTTCTCCATTGGCCGCTGCCACAGCTCCCAGAGACCCTGGCGAGCTGCAGGGCTGAGCTGCAGGACGCGCAGGACACCTGGGACTTTGGCCAGTGCGGGGTGCACCCTGCCTTCCAGCCCTCCCGCCCTTTGAGCTCACGTCAATGTCCACGTTGAAGACGAGCTGCGTGGCGATGTCCCGGCAGCCCTCCTGGCGCGCTGAGGCGGGCATGTCAGCGTCCGAGTACCAGTTGCGGTTCACAGTGTGTGCGTAGGTGCCGGCCGGTGAGGCGTGCTGGGCCCTGGTGGTGGTCACAATTCCCACAGACTTCCCTGAGGGAGGAGGAGGGCTCAGTGCATGTCCTGGGATATTGTGGCAAACTCCAGTCCCGGCCCCAGCCCATCACACCTGCTTTCTTGGCCCGGTGCATCACGGAGAGGACCTCGTTGCCCTGAGTTGTGTTGCACTGCTTGGCACGGGCAGCCGCGCTCAGGCCGATGGTCTGGTAGTTGCCTTTGACCCCGCACAGGTAGGCCGTGGCTGTGCCCGCACTATCTGGCACCTGTCTGTCCACGTTGTACGTCTGCAGACAGAGACAGCCTCAGCTGTGCGCCAGGCAGAGTTCAGCTGTACAGTCCGGCCTCTCCGCAGCCCCGCTCACCTTGGACAGCGCCAGGTACGGGAACTGATCCATGGCCAGTGGAGTCTCTGGCCCAGGCTGGCCCTGCATCTGCCCCTTCAGGATCCTGGTGGCGGTCACCGTGGGCACCCCCATCCCTGAGGGACAGAACCCGTCAGGCCGGCCTGGAGTCGGCGGGGCCCTGGGTGCCAGGTGGAGAGGGCACCGGCCCTGCACACTCACCGTCCCCCAGGAAGAGGATGAGGTTCTTGGCTGCCGTCTGAATGGGCTGCAGCTTCTTAGCAGCCGTCAGGGCCTCGTTTGCTTTTTGGTTCCAGAAGGCCGGGTTCTCCTCGTCCACTGGCCAGGGGAGAGTGGGGGCTGGGTCAGCCTGGGGCTGGGGGCTGGACAGGCCCTTGGTGGGGGGTTTGGGGAGCCGCATTACCTGGGATGATGCCGTGGGTCGGCCGTAGCATCAGGGCCAGCAGCAGCAGCAGCAGAAGCGCCTGGGCTCCCTGCATGTCTGGGGTGGTGTTGTGTGCGGGGCTGGGACAGCAGAGGACCAACTCCTGCTCACGCAGCTCTACTTGTGTAAGGAGGACTTTGCTCCTGGCTGTAAAAGTCCTCTTGTGTCCCTCCCCTTGCTCCAGGCAGCCACTCTGAGCTGCCACTGCCCTGTGAGCTCAAGGCAAGGGTCAGGGTAAGGCCAGAAGAGTACGGGAAGGATCTGCAGACAGCCAGCTCAGCATGGCCATGGCATCCCCCTCGGGAGGGTCAGGGAGCAGGGGCCACTGCCCTTGGCTGGGTAGCCTTTTCCATCCTAGAGAGCAGAGTGGCAGGGCCAGGCTCTGTCCTGAGTGCTGGAGGTAGCAAGGCTCTCAGGTCACAGCCTGAGTCTAGGGTTTGGCCTCAAGAGGCCAGAAGCTCCAGATAGGAGAGGCAGGTGCAGGTAAAGTTACTTGGAAGTCCTGGTAGCCAAGTGTCTTCTCAGCAGGCTTGGCAGGGGCAGGTGGTTTGTCTAGGAATGTGGGCCCAGAGGGATGATTGTGTGCGAATTGGTGGGGCTGGTGTGGTCACGTCTGTGTCTGCAGTGTGCCTGCCTCGTGTGTGTGTGTGTGTGTGTGTGTGTGTGTATGTGTGTGTGTGTGTGTTCACTCATGCTTGCAGCAAGCAGGCAAACATGGGGCCAGTGCCTTGGGACAGCCCACTATGAGCGGGATCTTTCAGCGTGCCCAGAAGGCTTGTGTCAATAGGGTTGCATCCCATTCCCATTGGGCCTGTAGATGGGGCCTAGGGGTGAATCCCAGGCCATCCCCAGGGTTAGTGTCTGATAAGAAGCCAAGAATTTCTTTAGCTCGGGGGTGTGTGTTAAAAAGTATTTCTGCAATCTAACAATCCCTCTATGGAATGTACATCCAAAGGGATTAGAAACACTGCATCACCTTCTGATCACTGGGACAAAATTCCCGACACCTGATACTTGAAGGAAGGAAGGTTTATTTTGTCTCACACTTTCAGTCCGTGGGTGGCCAGCTCCAAGGCAAGAAGGCACGGTAGAAGGGCCTGGCAGGGGAGAGATGCTCACCTCTCAGCAGCGGCAGCAGAGCTCAAAGGGAGGATCTGGGGAGAGGAGGGATCCCCTTCCAAGCCACACCCCCAGTGCCCACTTCTTCCAATCAGGCCCCACCTTCTAACAGCACATTCAGCTGTCCAGCCCCCATGGATCACTAACTTGGTTTTTTTTTTGGTTTTTTGAGACAGGGTCTCACTATGTAGTTGAGACTGACCTGGAACTCACTATGCAGCCCAGACTGGTCTCGAATTCACAGTGATCTTCCTGTCTTAGCCTCCCAAGTGCTAGGATTACAGGCGTGTGCCACCATGCCCGGCTGATTCACTGGGCTTTCTAAAGGCCTGCCTATGTGTGAAAGAGGCTTTGAGGGGACAGACATCTAGATTTAAGCCATAACATTCTGTCCCTGGTCCCCAAAAGGCTCTTGTGCCTCTCCTTATAAAAAATACATTCACACCATCTCTAAGAGTCACTGAAGTTTTAACAGTTCCAGCACCAGTGAAAAGTCCAAAGTCGCTTCTGACACTTAAGGTAGACTCTTAGCCGTGAACTCTTGTAAAAATAAAAAGAAAGTTAAACACTTCCAACATACAATGGCAGGGTAAACATTCCCTTTCCTAAATGAGATACAGGAGATAGAAAGGAATCAGATCAAAGGAAGACTGAAACCCTGCAGGGAAAATATTAAATCCTGTAGTTCCGTGTCCAGCACCCAAGGATACGAGTGGCCCCACTACTGTGGCATCGCCAGTTGTAGCTCTCATGGCCTCCCTCTTGGGTGGCTATGCTTACTGCCTGCTGCTTTAATCCGTAGATGATCCACTCTCCCAGCAGCTGCGTCTTCTGGGGTCTCCTCTGCATTTTCAGCTTCACTCTCAGATCTTCATGCACTGCCCCCTCAAGGGCACACTACTTGGGCTCTCAGGCCTTCTTCTGAAATCTGGGTGGAAGCTTCCCCAACCCACCCACTCTTAAATGCTCCAAGCCTGTAAAAACAACACTATATGGCTGACACCAAAGTCTGCCACCAACTCAAGCAATAGCTGGGTTCTTCAACCATGGCTGTAATAGCCCTGAGTGTGTGGATGGCTGAGTACTGCAAGCTGAATCCTGAGGAACCGACTCTCTAGGCAGCCCTTCTCCTCCACCCACACTCCCAGGGCTGTTCTGGGGCTCTCTTCTCAAACAAAATCTCATTTTTGCACCTCTTAATCTTCAAAGAGTGGAGTCTTACTGATTCCTCAAATGCCCTCAAAACAACTCTCCTATTGTCCTGTTGTAAGTATTTGGCTTCTTTTTAATGCCAATTGTTTCAACAACCAGGCTTTCCTCTGCTTCAACTTTGCCAGCCTTTCCTTTCTGGTAAAACTGACAACTTTTTTATTTGTTTTTAGACAGGATCTCAATATATAGTCTGAGCTAGCCTTAAACTCACTGTATGGCTCAAACTATATGGCCTCAAACTCTGGGCAATCCTCTTGCCTCCGCCTCCTGAGTGCTGGAATTCCAGGCCTCTGCCACCACAGTCAGCTAACTGAAAACTTTTTGAATGGGCTTTTTCCTCTGGTTTCTCAATGTAAATCTCACTAAAATCAGCCAGCCATATCCATGCCATGGTTTGAACATTGGGCTGCTTTGAAATGTCCTCCACCAGATTAATTGATCCAATGCACTTAATTTTTGTCTCCCAAAAAGTCTTAGGACATGAGCAAAATGTAGACAGATTTTCTGCCAGAGCATAACACACATGGCCTGGAGTCCAACTGCCAGGGTGTAACATATGCGACCTTCTTCCTAACTTAAAACCTCCTGAGCCTGGTCTTTACCACTTGCATTTCTATCAGCTTTCTGGTCCTCTGAGCGCAGACCAGAGTCTCCCACCAAGCTCAGCCTACAGCGTTCTAGAGCTCTTTCTCCAGCCAGTCATCTCCAAGCCTCTCCAAACTCCTGCAAACCAGTCCCAAAGGCTTCTGAGCCACACGATCGAGTAGCGTCACAGCAACGGCCCCTCTCTGTGTACCAAAATCTACCTTAGTCACACAAAATCTGTCTTAGTCACTTTCACTCTCCCATTGCTGAGACGTAACACCCGGCACCCACGACTAAAAGGAGCAGTTTGTTTTTTCTTACATTTTTAGTCCATAGCTGGCTGGCTCCAAGGCAGGAAGGAATGGTGAAGGGCCTGATGGAGAGCTGCTGGCTTCCTCCCAGCCGGGAGGCAGAATTTGAAGGGAGGAGCCAGGGAAAAGGACACAGCCGTCCAAGCCACGCCCCAGTGACCCGCCTCTTCCGGCCCCGCCTCTGACATAACACTTAATGATAGCACCCCAGGGTTCAGTCAACTTTTGAAGGCCCCTCCTGTGAGCACAGCAGGCTTTGGAGGGACAACTGGATGTCAACCATAGCAAGTGCGGACTCAGATCCCGGAGCCAGGCTCAGAGCAGCACGATTCACACTATCCGAGCAGCCGAAGCTATGGTTAGGAAATGGTTTGTGTTCCCAGATATTCCCGTGTCGTCAACTTGGTCCCTAGCGTGGTAACGAGGTGGGAGGTGGTGGGACCCCAGGGGAGGTGACTCTGTCATTTGAGGATGTGCCACTAGAAGGGGCCGTTACAGCTCTCTGAGACCCCAGGTAGGCCTGGGAGAGCCGGGGGTACTGAGGGAGCGAGGCCCCTCCCCCTCCACTTCCGGGTCCTGTCTCGCTTGGGATCAACTCGCTCCTGCCCCGAGGCACCACAATGACACAGCCAGCCAGACTGGCAGAGGTGAGCACCAAGGCCTTGAACTTCCGAGTCTGGGAGCTAAACAGACCTCTTTGCTTTATCCCTTAACACCACCTCCAGCTGTTCTGTTATCACAGCGGGAATGGGCTGATGCCCAGGTGTCTTTGGATGGACGAACGAACGTACACAGTGCGGTCCCTGCACACAACATTAGCGTTCGGCCTTTAGAAAGGTGGGAGGCCGGGGACGTAGCTCAGTGGTGCTCCACCTGCCTGGCAAGAACAAGGTCCTGAGTTCGATCCCTGGTGCCAAAAATAAAACAAAACAAAAAATAGAAAGAAACGTAGGGGATCCTGACTGGGCCAGAAAGAATGAATTTAAAGTCATTATGTACCTGAAATCGAGCGGTCACATATAGACAACCATCCAGTCCTCCACGTAGAAGTCACTAGTAGTCAGGTTTCTAGAGACAGAATGGGATGGGATGCTGGTGTCTAGGGGCTCGGGGAAGACAGAAGTGGGAATTGTTTGCTACGTACAGGTCCCCAGTTTTATGAGATAAAACAAATTCTGGGAATTGGTGGCCCAACAGTGTGCATGCCCTTAATGCCACAAGATTGCATGATTAAGAGTGGGGATGGTGGGAGCTGGGGATTTAGCTCAGTGGTGCCACCACCTGCCTTGCAAGTGCAACGACTGGAGTTTGATCCCCAGAACCAAAAAAGAAAAGAGCAGGGACAGTGAATTTTATGTCATGCATTTTTAAGCCACCATTCAAAAAATTTTCAGAACAAAACCTTGCCTCCAAGTTCTCCAGCACATCCCATCCTCGGCAGCCTCCTCCTGTGGTTCGTTTTTCACTACTGGGGATGGAGCCAAGGAAGTACTGAGCTCCATCTTCAATCCTTTTTTATTTATTTAGAGATGATCTTGCTAAGCTGCCCGTGATGGCCTCAAACTTGTGATTCTCCTGCCTCAGCCTCCTGAGTATCTGAGGATCCAGGTGTGTGCCACCACGCCTGGCCAGCAGCCTTCCTTTTTACTTGGGCCCCCTCCCCACATGAGCTACAGGCCTGGCTCGGAGTCCCAGGGCACCTCAGCTCGCCGCTGTCATCTGCCCATCCTGCGCCTCCCCTTACCCTCTCCTGGGTGACCTCGGGCAGAGCCTTCTTGGGTCCTGCACCTCCATCCTGTCTGTGTCCCCTGATTGTCCTGCAGATTTGGGGGACAATATCGCCTCCGGTCACCTGCTCCTTGCTAACTACCCACCCCGTGGCTGTCCCTACCTTCTGTGTAGCCATGCTGTATCAGGAAAACTCTTTTCCCTCATGTTTATCAAGAAAGATTTTAACGGTCTATTAATTATAAATATTTATGCAGTAAAATGGTCATTTGATGCATCCATACGATGAGTAACGATTACATCAGGGTAATTGGAACTTCCACCTCCTTAAATATTTCTTTGTACTGGGAAAGGAAAATTCTTGGGTAAAGGTCAGGGGTGGCTGGCTACTGGGCGAGGCCCTTAATCAAATTAATTGCTTTCTTTTTGTGACAGGTTAAAGGGTTCAGGACTCCACAGGAGCCATGTGCAGGCCCAGCACGCGTCAGAGAGCAGTGATGGGAATGCTGCCCGGTGTCCCTGGTGTCCCCGGGGACTATAAGCAGGCATGCCGGGCTCTGTGCAGTGTCATCCTGAGAGCCGGTGAGGCAGCCGTGGCCGGGCCACCGCACAGTTGCACCCGGAGGGCCTGTGTAGCCGTGCCGCCCCACGACCACTCCTGGGCCGCTGTCGCCAGCCCCTGGCAGCCAGTAACTGTGCCTGCTCTTCCCACCTGTGCCCTTTCTAATAAGCCACATGGCAGAATGAAGCTGTCTACACTTTTCAGGGATTGACCTTAACTCTGCTCCACATAATCCCCTGGAGACCCACCCAGGCTGGCCTAGCGTCTTCCCTGGGTGGCTGTCTCAAGGCCTGGTTAACCATTCACCCGCTGAAGGACGCTGGGCTGCTTTCTGGGCTGTTAGGAACCCGGCTGCTCCAAACGTTCCAGGCAGGTTTTCGTGTGCACATATCTTCCTGCTCTCCTGAGAGAAGGGTCTGGGGCTGCAATTGATGGTCTGTAGTGACTGCATGGGACATTTTTAAGAACTTTGT